CCGCATGTCACGTGTCTCCCGCGCTGCTTCCGGCATTTCGGGCATTTCCTCGGCCATGGTCACCTCCTCGACCGTGGCCGTTTCCCTCTCCGCCTTCTTCTCCGCCGCAATCCTTGCGGCTCTCTCCTCTTGGAGGAGGGTCGTGAGTTTCTCCACCTGGTCCTCCAGGCTCCTGACCCTCTCCTTCCACCTCTCGATCTCCTCCGACGCCGCGCTGTTGGGGCCTGCTGGCTTTGTGGCCACCACCGTTGCCGCCGCTCGTAGTGTCGCGGAAGACGCCTTCAGGTCCTTAACGTATGTGCGTTTTAGGTTCTTCGACCTTTCGGCGACCTTGACGACGACATTTATGTTTTCCAACATTTCTGCCGCCATCTCCTCCTGGCTGAGGGACTCCATGCGACGAATGGTCTCCTTCTCAGGCGTCGCACTTCTTGGGGCCACCTTCGGGTTTGCCACCTCCTCCAGTGCCTTTTTCTCGGCTTTGAGCAGCCGGATCTCCCTTTTGACCTGCTCCTTCTTCTTCCTTTTATATCCCTCACCCGTCGTTGAGGGCCTCCCTCTCCTCTTCCTTTTTCCCGTTATCTGGTCCACAGAAGAGGTCGATGACTCGTCGCTGTCGCTGTCTGTGTAGGGGACTTCGCCCTCCCTATCCTCCACCTCCGTATCGGACCACTCTGAGTCCAGAGACGGAAGTTCTTGGAACTTCTTAGAGGACCGCGGGCCTGGTTTGTTCCGCGTTCTCGTAGCCAGCACGCTGACTCCCTCGCGTCGGGTCACTCCTTGGGGCTCTGCCGACCCACCTCCCTTTGTCCCCTTGGAGTTGCCCGCTTCACCGTCTTTGTTCTCCGCATGGTTTTTTGTGTGTGTTTTCTTCATTATGGCAGATATGATTTACTCCGGTTCGCCCATCATGGGACCCCCACCGCGGTGGGGGTACTATCCCCGGTTAAGTAAAACCCTAGTTAAGGGCCGGGAAGCGGAGAAGCCGCTTGTCGGGGAGCCACCCCTATCCCGGCCAGTGACTCTATGAAAAAGGGTTCCTGGAGACGGCCAGGTCCACCATTATGTTAAAGGC